ATATATATATATATATATATATATATATATATATACATATATATATATTAAAATAAATATTAAAATAAAAGTTACATGCTGCAGCTTTATCTGCTGCTGCAGTCTGGAAGTTCGGCAGTCTATCAGCCGCCATGTTTGTGTTCAAAAATGTTGAAAGTTGACATGAAATATGATTATCTAATTATGAGTTATTGGAAGATATTGTTGACGATACTTAAGCACAACTTTATAGTCATAAAAAAGCAAACAAATATGAACATAAATTGCATAGTTCAGTATTCAGCTATCGGCTCGGCTGTGTGACGTCGGTCGCACTCAGAGCCGACCCAAAGAATAAGTGAACCAAGCAGCTGCTAACATTTTAACACGGACCAAAGATCTGGGATTTTAACCTCTGGTTATTGGGAATTAAATATGATTTAATGGTTTCAGAAGACATAAATTAAAACATTTTAAATTGTTTAACATATAAATGTAATATTTAAAGGAGTAAAACATGAACAGACGTCATGGATTTAATCCAACAGTTTCTGATCCGTGACGAGTTTCAGTTTAAAGTTTTAAGACAAAAATAATTTCCTCAAACATCAAATCAGCTGCAGAAAAAAATGATGAGAGGAAATTTGATGTAAATATTTTACTTAAGATAAGTGAATTAATTTAAAAACCAGGTTGAATCATATTTCAGACCCATCATCAGTTTGAAATCATTTTAATCTAATTAAGCCTCACCTGGAAGATAACTAATGAATATTTTCATATCATACGTGTGACTGTATTAGTAAAACTTAAGAGTACTTTAATGAATCTGAGTTTTGCTCTTTATTTTTAATTAATGGTTGTTTCTCTAACGAGGCTGATCAGATTCAGTTCAGGAAAACAGTTCCTCCTTTTTCCAGCTTTGCAGTTCGTTCTCAGCTCATCTCCATTTTTCAATCAAGACGAGACAGAAGTCAGAGTTTCCCTGGTTTCCTGGCAACCATCATCCAGCTGCAGCAGTCTGCGTCCCAGCTGCAGCAGTCTGCGTCGCAACTACAGCAGTCTGCGTCCCAGCTGCAGCAGTCTGCGTCCCAGCTGCAGCAGTCTGCGTCGCAGCTGCAGCAGTCTGTGTCGCAGCTGCAGCAGTCTGTGTCGCAGCTGCAGCAGTCTGTGTCGCAGCTGCAGCAGTCTGCGTCGCAGCTGCTTCCTCTCCCTCTCAGAACATAACCTGCGCTCTGAAGTGCTTCTGCTTGGTGGTGTTGTTGCTCATCCCCATCTTCAGCATCCAGCGGGATTTCATCCTCTGGACGTACTGCATGTCCCTCTGTCTCTGCTGGACCGAGCCGCCTGGACGGACAGACAACAGGCGACATTTTGTTAAAGACACAGGAGGACAAACGTCCCGCTGAGGGAAGTCAGAGAATCACATTAAACAGTTCACTATGTAGATTTTTTGAGTGTCAACAATAAAAACACAAATCTGCTGTAAGTATGAATCATAATTAACTCGTTATAGTCTGGTTGCTATGGTTACAATCATAGATCCAGCAGGAAGCTGATGGGTAACTGAACCTGAACTGATCGACTTCTGCAGGAAGTTTCAACCATAAAGGCTCTTTGTCTCCTTTTCCTGTTTTATTATAAAATATTTTTCATACAGATACATATATTTTAACATTTTTTCTATTTATAATGTATATCTATTTTATCAAATAAATGGATACACCTTTTGACTGGCTCTGGTGTGTATATCTGTTTATACTTAGACATATTAAAGAAAAATAAAGAAAAGAGTTTATGGGACTCAAGGAGGATGAATTATTGTTTAGGAAATGCAGACATAAAAAAATATTTGTTC